CCGCCGCTGCCGCGGCGGCGTCTTCTTCTTCTCCTTCCGCCACCGCCACTTCTTCTGACGCCGCCGATACTTCATCCTCCTATTCTTCTTCCTCCGAGGCAGAAACCGCCCACCGGAAAACACTGAACACGAAGCTCTGCATCATAGGAAGCGGCCCGGCGGCGCACACCGCCGCCGTATACGCGGCGCGCGCGGAGCTGAAGCCGGTCCTCTTCGAAGGCTGGATGGCCAACGGCGTCGCTCCCGGCGGCCAGCTCACCACCACCACCGACGTCGAGAACTTTCCGGGATTTCCGGCCGGCATACTCGGCGCCGAGCTGATGGACCGCTGCCGCCAGCAGTCCATGCGCTTCGGCGCCGAGGTCGTCACGGAAACCGTGACGACCGTGGATTTCTCCAAACGGCCGTTTAGGGTTTTCACCGATTCCACCACTGTTGAGGCCGAATCCGTCATCATCGCCACCGGCGCCATTGCCAAGCGGCTGAATTTTGACGGCGCCGGTGACGGCCCCAACGGATTCTGGAACCGTGGGATATCGGCGTGCGCCGTGTGTGACGGCGCCGCACCGATATTCCGGAAACGGCCGCTGGCCGTGATCGGTGGCGGCGATTCGGCGATGGAGGAAGCTTGCTTCCTGTCCAAGTTTGGTTCTAAAGTGTATATAGTTCATAGGAGGGACAAGTTTAGGGCTTCTAAGATCATGCAGGGGAAGGTGATGAGAAATCCCAAAATTGAGGTGTTGTGGAATTCAGAGGTGGTTGGGGCTTATGGGGATGATAAGGGTAGTGTTCTTGGGGGCCTTAAGGTGAAGAATGTGGTGACTGGGGTTGTGACTGATTTGAAGGTTTCTGGTTTGTTCTTTGCAATTGGGCATGAACCTGCCACAAAGTTCTTGGATGGTCAACTTGAATTGGACTCTGATGGGTACATTGTGACCAAACCTGGCACCACGAAGACTAGTGTTGAGGGAGTTTTTGCTGCTGGGGATGTCCAGGATAAGAAGTATAGGCAAGCTGTTACTGCTGCTGGCACTGGTAATTCTTGTTTCATAACCCTTATCTTCGAGTAAATTAGATTGTTTTGCTTTGTTATAGTTAGGGATTCATGTGATGTGATGATTCCTCGTGTTTTGAATTTGATGGCCATGTTTTGTTTCCCTGTTCTCTGCGTTTTCCATTATATATCAGTTTGAATCAAATTAGATTGTTTTGAACATGTTATGTCTTGAGTAGGATCATATGATGCCTGGTTTTGAAACATTGTGGTGGAACTCATGTTTTCTCCCATGTTCTTAATGTTTTCTATTTTTATTTGGCAATGACATTTGGTAGAATCACATGTTGAATATATTACAGCATACTTTCAGCATTGTGCATCATGTAAGATATAATCTTTAGTTGGCTCACCTTCACCCCAGTTATCTGTACACTATATGATAATAGTATTTCTATCAACTATGTTCTGTTAGAACTTGGAAATCATAGTGATTCTAAGTTCTGTTTTTTTTTTTCTTTTCAATTCTTATTTGGGGTTAGTCATTTATACAAGACAGAATACGGAATTAAAAATTTAAAATAACTAACAGAGTAAGAATACAATCTGGTATTTGAAGCTCAAAGTGGATTAGTCATTGATTTTGTTTGATTATGAACCCAATTTTGCATTGCTCTTGTAAGGGAAACAGGAGTCAAAATACAGGGGATTTACTCTGATATAAATAATTGAATTGAACGGGGCGAATCGTAAGAATATGGAATCAGCTAATTATTTTGCCTTATATTTGAATTTTTTGAACTAGAAGTAAGTTATATCGTGCCATCAGAATGATTTCATTGTTTGTGGTTTTGACTTTGTTTGGTGGCCATTGCATTTAAAATTGTCAATAATAATATGCATAACGCAATCAGAATCAGATTTAGTGTAGCAATAGCTTTATTCTCCCAAAGGATAATAGAATTCATATTATTGGTGCAGGGTGTATGGCAGCCTTGGATGCAGAACATTACTTGCAAGGGATTGGTTTGCAGGAGGGTAAGAGTGTTTGACGTTGTACCCGGAGTTCAGAAGATGCTTCACTAGAAGCAATGTTTAATTCATATAAGTGAAAGCTTTTCTTTACCCGGTTAACATGTTTATTTGCACGATTATATTCATCATTTGATTGCAGAGAAAGTAGACTAACATGATTTTCGTGACGAATATAATAGAAACCATAAAAGCTTACACATAAAGGTTTATAGGTAAGCTTTAGAGTCTGATTGCGTTTTTGCTTTGGAAGAAATTATAAATTCCATTTTTAGACTTAACCAAACGGGCTATTATTCTATAAACTGAACAATTCATTTTAAAGGAATTAAATTCAGCGATCTGATTTTTCTTGTCTAGGGAATGCATCTCCCTCTGGAAGTTAAGGGAAACATTTAGTTGCACATTGGTTGATCTTGCTACATTATTTAGAAACCAAAAATGTGAAGTACATCTGGTCGATTTAGATACATTATTTACATGCACATCGGTTGATTTAGAATGGAATGAAATTTTTTTTCTTTTTTTGTATAGCTAAAAATATAAAATAAAACTTTGCATGTGATTAATAAAGTACATTTTAGTTTTATTAAAATGAATATAACAAAGGGAACTTGGAATAGCATCTTAGATCATCTTCTAGGGATAAAAATGGCGTTGGCAATTTTAGGAAGAAAGATATTATATTTTAGGGACTGAAACATTGTCAGTTTATTATCACGTATGCATCCCATGTGATATATTTTCTGTTTCTTTTTATCCCATGTAATATATTTTCTGTTTCTTTTTGCTGAATGGGCTGGGGAAAAATACCCCAGGCCCATTATCAATTAACCTCCAGAAAAGGAATCAAAACTAGAGTCTGAATAAAAAAATACAATCAGTAAAGTTAATCCAAACTTGGCAGAAGTATCGGCATATAATTTAGCTCTCTACAAACATGACGAAGAACACAGAATTGGGAAGCATCCTTTAATCGCCAAATCTCGGTAATAAATTCAGGAAAACGGTTATGAATATACAAATAATCTCAATAAGCCTAACTGCTTCGAGGCTATAAAATTCAACACTCGGATTCTCACAAGCCATTTGCATACCACATAGGATTTCCCACAATTTAGTCCTAGGAACATGCGTAGATACTGCGAATAAATTCTTTACTACAGCACGTGCCAGCTATTTATATTACAGCTTCAAGAATCGAGCAATGCCCCATCTTTTGGAGAAAGCTTTCAAAAACTCCACTACAATTTCTCGAGACAGCCCCACACGAAGCAAAATAAGCACACACATAAAAACCACCATCACAATTTAGCTTAAAACAATCAACTAAAGGATGTTTTCAACTGGTCCAAACATTATATTCACGATATTATCAATGTCGAGATACTTCGAATCTTTATTTATTTCTCAAAAAAAAAAAAATTCATTGGAACAATTGTACATTGACTAGAGTGAGATATGATAAAGATCTTACAATGAGTTGAAAAGTAAGAGAGAGAAAAAAAAAGACAATTATATGAGCAGTGAAAAATTTTCATTATAAAAGACTAAATCATAAAAATAAGTTTTTATATTTATAAGTAGAAATAAATAGGTTTGTTTTTTTCGGAAAGTTTTGAAAGAGAAAATGATCTCATTAAAAGTGAAGTCTAAAAAGAGAAAAATATATTCCTTTTACATGTTATAAATATTAAGTAAATTAGTATTAGTCACATATTTTTCGTTAGTTTTATCTGACCTAGTTAAGGTATAGAATAAAATGATCAAATTCAAGGGTAAGGTAAAACGACCCACTCTTACATTTTTGCACTAAAATTTCTCCAAGTATTTGGTCATTTATCCCGGCCCTTAATTTATTTATTAATTAGAAAGTGTGTTTAGTGTAATTACCGCATCAAATGTTCCGTGAAAGCTCTCATTTTATTGCCTTTGTTCAAATAAATTTATATTAAAATTGTATAATTTCTCATATATAGTTATTTTTAGATTAAATTAATCTATCCCTATAATTAATCAATTTTTTTATGAAAGTCCCTATAATTAACAACATTCTAAAAAGATCTTTTAGTTTAAAAATGTTGTAATTCAATCCTTCATTCACTAATGTCACGATTCTGTTAGTTTATACTAAGCGGATATTTTGACATAATAATTACTTTTTAATATGATAATTTTTTTTTTATATTTTAAGTATTTCTAATGAAATTCTTAATTTTAATATGCTAATTACACCCGAAACTTAAGATTTCTTTCACATTCAGATTTAAACAATATTTTAGTTTTTAAATTCTTAGATATGTTTTTCTACCGCATCCAAAATTATCCTCAGGCAACTCGACTAGTGCTTTCTCTAACAATTGAAAATCCACCAAAGACACTGCACCTTTCTTCGTTAGAAAATTTCCCCTTGAATCAACCTATCAAATAGAGACAATCTGATTGATACTTCACATGTGAGTATCCTCGTTCCCAACAAACCTCCAAACTCTTCACAAGCATCATAACCTCAACATAAACATTATTACTGACTCCTAGTGTAACGGTATTAATTATACAAACCTATTTATTTATTTAATCCATCTTATTTGATTTAAATGAATACTTAATTTTTTAAATAAAAATTAAATAAAAGAAAATAAAATTTAGAATAAATGATACAAAATTACACTCATAATTATATTATGCATTTTTTGCAACTTATTTGAATTATAGTCATTTTGCTGTCTAGATAGTAGGAAAAGAGTTTTATTTATATACATACTTTTCCTATAACATAATATTCTTTAACTTTATGCGACTGGTGGAAACATAAAAGCAAATGGATTTACATGATTGGTGGGAGGAAGGAAAAAAGTGAGTATTATAAATCCTTTTAGGATGTATGATTCTTCATGTTGTGGAAAGAATACTAAAAACGACAGTACTTAACCGCTAAAAGTCACAACATTGTTAACAATATCTAGATTCCAGCTAATTTCAGGAAAAACAACTTGTATTACTGTCGCAACCGAGATCGTGACGGGACGGAGAAAAATAAATTAAAAATAGGGAGTCGCCACTAATGTTATGTTTTACAAAAAAATCATAAATTAAAAGATAGTCTATGAAAATCAGATTTTTGAGTTCGGGAGTCGATTACGTGTGAGGAATGTATTAACATCTCACAATGTTCGTCTTAAGACGATTACCTTTAATTAATTAAAAAAATTATTTATAATTTATAAAATATTTATCTCACAAAAATGATCAAATATATTTTATTTAACTAATTTAACTAAAGCATTAAAAAAAAGTTAAAATTATTATTATTATATAAAAAGGAAAATAATATATTTTTTATTTTTTGGCTCGACAAGATTTATTTATTGCTCCTATGTATTTTCATGTGTAATGAATAATCAAAGTCACATAGTTCTTTGTAGAAAATATTTGTGTGTTGATATTATTTAATAAATTTTATTTTTGTTAAATATAGGATTCTTGAACTGTCTTAGCTCATTCACCCTAAAAATATAAAATTAACTAAGGTGTACACCAAAGTCAATTCAATAAAATTTTTGTAACATCCCGGAATTTCTACTATTACAATATCAATTATTATCTATTTTTATATATTTATGAAGATTATTTTTATAGTTATTTTAGTTAATTAAAGAGGTTTTTATAGAATCTTTTAATGGTTTGTAATAATTTAAATTATTTATGAAATTCTTTTATAAAATTCTGTTTCTTTAGGTTGGAACGGGCTGTTCCAAAAGTAGAACGGGCCGTTCCAAACAATGAAAATAAATTGTTTTTGGAGTATCAGAACGGGCCGTTCCAAAAGTGGAATAGGCCGTTCCAAAGTAGAAAAGAAGCCTATTTGGGTTTTTCCAGAACGGGCTGTTCCCAAAGGGAAACGGGCCGTTCGAAGATTCAGAATTTACCTAAAAAGGTTGGTTAGAAAAGGGGCGTTCCAGTAAAGGTCAATGTGTGTAAAATGAACTTCAGAACGGGCCGTTCTTCTTTTTGAAACTGGTCGTTCCAGTTGAGAAATTTACGTATATTTGAAGGATCCGGAACGGGCCGTTCCGAATTCAGTACAGGCCGTTCCAGGTACACCAGGATGCCTATAAATATGGGCAAGGGGGGTGAAATATTTATACTGAGTGAGAAGGTGAAATCTTAGGTATGGAATTACATCACAATTTTTCTTGTAATTAATAACTTCTTTTATTACAATAATAATTAGTATACAGATTAATGTAAAAAAATTTCTTTCACTATTCTTTGCAGTATTTTCCGGTTAAATACTTTGATGTTTGGAGCATAGACAAATACAATATTTGTGTCTTAATTGATGAAGACAGAGAAATGGTTCAAATTGACATGAAAAGAACATCAATACACCGCAACAAAAAGGAGTTCTACCCGGGGAAGGAATGGGGTCAGCTTGTTAAACGTCAAGGATACCAGAAAGGCTTACGACTTAAGATTGAAAAACTTATTGACTTAAACAAACTCGTCCTCAGTGTTAACAAAGCATGACTTCATGCTTCTTTTATAACTATTGTTTTCTTATAAACTGCTTCTCTATCATTTCAAACTTCTTTTTTTTTTGGATGTGTATCACAATTAACAATCATCAAAACTTAAATATTTCTGTATCTTATTTCATTATGTACTTTTTTTTGCCATCTCAGATTGTCATCTTCCGGATATTCATCGTTACTGATGTTATATTTTTGTCTTCACCAATTATGTCATCAATGGTTCTTATGTATATGTAATGAATTGTGGCTCGGGTCAACAAAGTCACATATTCATTCATATGGACAACACTGCATTAGGACATGCAATTTCAAAATACCACCTACGTTTGATTTTATTACTTATTCATCAGAAAATCATAGAATCAAAAATTAAATACATCATTCAATAAAACCACATGTTATAGGAATTTCGATCATCTTTTTTACCGTTTCAGACATTTATTTTAGGCTAAACATTTTAAACCCATTAATGAGTATTTATTTTTTTTACTTTTATTATACTCCTTTAATCGAAAACAACTCAAAAAATGACACTTACATAAAATGCTCATCGTATAACATTTAAGGTCATTAACTACCAATTATTACCTATTCCAATTAAACACTTAACCAACCCTAAACGAAACCCTAAATTAATTCAATAAATTATAAAAATTACTAATTTATTATTAATAATGAATTCAAATTAGTTTCTCATTAACTGTCTCAACATACAACTCAATTCCTGTGTTAGTGTATAAAACAAC